TGAGACTAAATATTTTAATTTACTTTTAATGATTTTTATGGTCAAATTTTTTTTAAATAATATAATTATAATATTATATCATATTATAAATTTATAACCTAACATATTTATTCTATAATTAATTATTTTTACTTTAATATATATTTATTTAATATTATTTTAACCACCTAGCATCCCAATATTTTTTAGTTTAAGAAAAATAAAGATTGTAACTGGAGTCAACGGAAAAAGAGAGCAACCGCCGTGTTTCTTTGCAGCTTGTTTTTAACGCAAAACGATATCGACATAATACGGCGTAGCCATTTTCCCATTGATATTTCCGCTTCAAGCTAATTTAGAAACAGCTAACTTCCACCGTCAAAACCAAACGATTCCCCGCATTAGACGTCAAGAATCCTTCAACCCAATTTCCAACACGTTCTTTCTGCAATCTGCACCACCCCAATTTGGCGGCATGATGGTTTGGGTCAATGTACTACAGTAGAAGAAAGAAGTTGTGCATGCGCCTGTGTGTGTTTATATATTTATACATATTTTATAGAATTTTTAATTATTTTTTGTTGAATAGTTGGGACTTTATTGAGGGGTTTTGAGAGATGAGTGGAAGTGGGCAAGGGCAATCGTCCCATCGTCAGAGTGCCAGAGATTTAATCTGCCACGCTGGTGCTGGTGCCTCTGCAGGTTAGCTTTGCTTCAAGTATTGTTTTTTAACTTAGTGTTTTAGGGGTTTTTCAATTCTTTTGTTGGGTTTTTGCAACAAATCTGAAAACTTGAACTAATGAATGAGGATACTGTGTATGATCGATGCTGGTGAAGTTAATATGTTAGTGGTGGTGTTCTAACTCTGGACAATTCTGGTTTGTGGGTGAATTTCAGGTGCAATCGCGGCGACCTTTGTTTGCCCTTTAGATGTAATCAAGACAAGATTACAGGTCCATTGCCTCCCGGAAGCAACACAGTCCATTCCTAGAGGTATGGCAGAATCTTTGCCCTTCAACTGATGCTGTTCACTTGCATAAGCCTAGTACAACTGTTTAGTTTGAATTTGTTAATTCTATGACTATGATACCTGGATGAATTGAGACAATGTTTGGGACTGATGATATTAAGTTTGTGAATTTGCATGTTGTCTGTGTAAGAACTTGCACAGGGGAAAAATGACTATTGTCTAGTTCTAACATTTATGTTAATCTACGAGCTGTAATCATTAGTTTGATGCTAGTTTGTCAATAATTGCCATGTTAAGTAGAGAACCGGTGATCATTAGTGCTAGCATCTAAGAGCTATGCTGAGCCGTTGTTCCTTTTTTTCCCCTCTTTCCAAATTCAGGTGGTGTCATTATTACAAGTCTACAAAACATAATAAAGACTGAAGGTTTCAAGGGATTGTACCATGGGCTTTCACCGACAATTCTTGCTCTACTTGCAAACTGGACTGTAAGTAATTTTTTGATGTTGCTTTTCCCCATCACCTTATCAACAAGTATTAGGTATAAATTTGTTCTTCTAGTATGTCTTCCTTGGCACAATGCTTTGTAGTTCTTTTTGTCCATTTAGCAAATTATGCAAAATACCATTTTCTACATACTGACAAGAGTTCTCATTCATATTTAGGTCTACTTCACACTTTATGAGCAACTGAAGCACATACTCCGTTCACATGGTTGGTTCTTCCTATTGTCAACTCTTTGTTTCTTATTTGATTCCATGTTCTCTCATTCCATCTTTCCCTGGTTGGATCTTTTATGAACGATTTACTATTTTCATATTTTAGGGGACAGCTCTGGGCAACTTACAATTGGAGGCAATGTGGTAGCTGCTGCTGGTGCCGGTGCTGTAACTGCCATTACCACAAACCCATTTTGGGTTGTAAAGACCAGACTTCAAGTAAGTTTGTCTTGCATAGATATGTAGATTGTAGAGCCAATACCTTAGTGGTTGTCTCATATTTTGCTTTTCTCTTTGCTTAAGTTGTGACAACTTGCTTCTAAATTATACTTAGTAGCCCAGTTATATGAGTTCGGTGTTGATAGACAAATATGTTGATGTAATTTAGAGTTCAGTAGCTATTCTTAGTTTTAGTTATTGGAGTACACTCTTGTTGCCACAGGCTATGCTTCTTTATGATGCACTCTTGCTGAAGTTCTCTAAACAGTGTTTATGACTGGAAAATGATGTGGTGTTCAGTGGATCAACCTCCTTATCAATACTTTGACAGATGCATGTCTCAGCTGGCATATTTTTTGAACCATAAATGTAAGCCTCTCTGGCAATAAATAAGAGAGATTAGTTGTTCTCGATAGGTCTCAGGACTTCCTGTCCTCTTGAAGTTTCAATTTTTAGTGAGATTATATTGTAGTTCATTTCCATAGTGTGTCACTAACGGTTTGAAACTGGAATAAGTAGCAATTCACAATTAATCATGGAAGATTCTTTAAGTTTACCTTAATGTTTCTGTGAATGCAGCAGACTAGCAGTCACTGCCAAAGATGTGCGAAGTTATGCTACTTTAACTGCTTCTTCTTAAAGCAAGGGTTGCTCATTAGTTACTCTGTCTGATCCATTTCCTTGTCACTATGCATTTTCATTTATTTGTCATCTTCATTCAGACACAGGGGATGAGGGCAGATGTTGTTCCATACAAAAGTGTACATTCTGCTTTAGGAAGGATCTTGCATGAGGAAGGCATACGAGGATTGTATAGGTTAGTGGCAGATTTCTACCCTGCTTGGATTAGCTTGCAGTTGCAGTAGCTATGCTTTTGTTCTGAAAAAATATAAAAAATAAAATCATTTCTTTTACCATTGTAATCTTAAAGCTTTTTTGTGGTTTGAAACAGTGGAATTTTGCCATCATTGGCTGGGATAAGTCATGTTGCAATACAATTCCCAGCATATGAAAAGCTAAAGGCTTACATTGCGGAAAAGGGTAATAAATGATTGCCATTATTTATCTATGCACTTCCTTTCCAAATTGTAGACATGAGTTTTTCTTAATCCTCAGTAACTACAGATCTGATCATATCATTTCTAAATTCTCAGAGAATACAACCGTTGATAAACTAAGTCCTATGAGTGTTGTAATTGCCTCTTCAATATCAAAAGTGCTTGCCTCAGTAATGACTTATCCACATGAGGTATGTTTTCCTAAACAGAGAGAGTGCATGCATTCATGTTTTCCTTGTAAATTTGTTATATATTATTCAAAAATTGCATATGGCCAGGTCGTGCGTTCAAGGCTTCAAGAGCAAGGGCAGCTCAGAAACCCAACAGTCCACTATGCAGGGGTGACAGATTGCGTGAAGAAGGTTTTCCAGAAGGAAGGTATTCCTGGCTTCTACCGCGGCTGCGCAACTAACCTGTTGAGAACAACACCATCAGCTGTCATCACATTCACCAGTTACGAGATGATTCGTCGGTTCCTACAGCAGGTGATACCACCCGGCACCAGATAATAAGCGCTCAAACGCCCACCCCAAATCTGACGCCCGTATCATGCCCTCAATCCCATTAGGGAAGAAAGATAAGCTTGCTGCATGAAACTAATAAGTGGGTGTTTGGCAAAACCAAAAAAGTAATTGTTTTAAAAGTATTAATCTCTCTCATAAATTAAAATTTTGTTGGAGGAAAACACTTAAAATTAGGTTTTTTAAGTGAATTTTAAATAAAATTTGAAAAAGCTACCCATTTAAGTTTTTTAAAAACTTACTTAAAACTTACTTTAGAAAATAATTTTAAAATTTTTTTTAACAAAAATTTAAATTTATGAGAGATAAATAATATTTTTAAAACAAATACTTTTTAAACTTGGGAAACACCTTTTAATTCTAATTTACCATCGTTTTTTATTTTTTATTCCCTAAATTTTTTGTTGTAAGAGAAATTCTCTACAAAAATGGACGTAGTATCTCAAATGCCAAAAACAAAAAATAGATCAATTTTTCTAATTGATAAATAATGCAGTTGTTATTTTTATAGAAAAAAGTTTTAGATACACCATGTAATATTAATTATTACTGCATAACACTAACTATTAGATAAACCGAATTGAGTCTGTAACAGCGTTTATAAAACACTTCAATCTAATGATGGAAAGTTTTAATTTCTCACTCTATTGCACTTCAATCACCAACGGGGAATTGATAACAGAAATCAAAACCGAACTTTTATTCCAAAATTTAGTAAGTAGCAAATTTTTTACTCTGGAATGCTCACAAGCATCGGACGCCATGCTCTCCTCAGCAGCAACCGGTGCCGGAACCCGACCCAACCCGGTCTCGGCGAATTCGACTCAACTTCCTGTTCCTTCAATTTCGGTGGTAGCACCTCGCTCTTACCGTCATTCTTCTCGTTAACGACCTTGCTTTTGTCTTCTTCTTCTTCTTCTTCTCCGAACGGCGGGGATGATACAAATAGATCCTTCAAAGTGCGGCTGTTTGAATCCTTGTTGTCGTTCTTCTTCTCAGGAGGTAAAGCAGGAACAAAGCGCTTCTTATTCGATATCACTCGGCTGCTGAGTGATCGGCAGCTGGTGGTTCGAGTGAGTAGCATTCGCAGGGTGCTTTTGCGGCGACGAAAGTGGACCAAAGGGCTTGTCCTCGGGCTGCGCGTTGGGCTCTGCACAACTCCACACTGCGTCGCTAGTAGCTTGAATTTCTGCAAAGTCGCCATTTCCACGCTCGCTCTCAGCTTCCTTACTCTGAAAATTGTGATGTCGAGTATATTTATGGAATTTGGTGAAGTGAAATGGAGGGTTTGGAATTTGAATGCTACTGTGAAATGTGTGAGGTTTGCGTCTGAGGAAGAGAAAAGGATCTACATCGGAGTTGCCTTTCTCTCCACATGTTCCTTCTTTTTTACAGTTTCAAAAGTGCTTGCTTTGAATGGAATATGGAATACCAGAAAAAGAGGGGAGGTCCATTTTCCAAGGAAATTCTTTAATCTCATGGCACTGTAGAAATGAAAAAGAAAAAGAAAAAGCATCTCTCAAGTCGACCCAATCTTGTCTTCATTGTAGAGTATTTGGAAAAGTAGACCCTGGTCACCCTTGTTCTCCTTTTTTTTTTTTTTACTGTATAATTTTTGAGTAGAGTGAAGAATTTGAATACGACTCATGAAACACACATTTTTTTTACCAAATGGTCTACAAGCTCAAGTGTCACACTTGTTCTTATTGTTGCATTAAAGAATAAATAAATTATATCAAATTTTATAGATAAGATGTTAGGTATATTAAATATTTTAATAATAATCAAGATTCGATCTATGATATTATTATATTAAAAAAATTTTATTTTCTTTTCTTCAAATTGTACCTGTTAAAGAAAAAAAACAAAAAAGAGAACAAATATGTTGATTCAAGAGTTAATTT